TTGCTACATTGCTCTCAACTCGATGATTCTCCAGGATTCTCTATGACCCTCGATCATTTATTTATTCTATTTTAGTGTACCGATTACTATTTACAGTTGCTGCTGCGCAACTGTTTTTCAAAAATGTTTAAATTCCGCACAAAAACAAAAAGTGGGTTACCACAGCTGATATTGTAATAAAATTATACAAAAAGTATAATTTGTTTTGCTAATTATGGTCTTACAATTATGAAAAAATGATAAAATAATCTAAAAGTTTTGAAATACTTATTAAATAACATGTGAAATTCTAGAATATTTTGATTGTAGACATTGATTAAACTCTTGTTCAACATGAGATCTAATCTTATGTGAAATTTCACTTTTGTACATGTGTGATTTGAGTTCCAAAAACTTTAAAAATGAAATTTCAAGATTTCATAGAATCTTTGAAAATTAGCGTAAAAGAATTAGAAATTCAAACAAACAATAGAATGTTTGACAAACTAAGCATGTCAATCACATAGAGAATAAAATTATGAAATTTAAAATCCAATTAATTGATATCTTCTTATGCACATGATTTATACTAGATTTATTACTAAGACATATAATGATTTCAACAATTTACAAACAAAAAAATTTCAATTTTGTTTTCAAAATCAATTGATTGTATTGTGTAAATTTTATTCAAATATTCATAAAAAAATAGTAAATCTAATTTCATCAAATTTAGAAGTAGATTAAATATCACAACAAATGGACATACCAAAACACTGTATTATATTTGCTATACATGAAAATACTTCGTATAAAGTGAAATCTGTAGTCATCAATCTATCTTTGAAAAAACATTTCTTATTATTTATTAGATTGTACTTGAGCCTATACATCCATAATCTATCAACCAAAAATTGATTTTTGAAGGCTTTGCTAGGTTCCACGCCTTTCTATCAATATCATGTTATTTAATATTATTCAATTCAAACTTATTGACAAATTCTTCAACTTCTTATAATAATAAAGTTCTAATTTCTTAAAAAACTATATATATTATCAGCATCATCTCCATCCATTTCAATATCATGATAATTTATTATGAATAAATAGGTCTATATTTAGGCTTGTAAAAAATTTACTAATCCAATTCAATAAACTTGTAGTATAAATTTTTGTTGATCTCCATCTTGATGTTGTGATTTGCGTCTTATCAACAAAAGCTTGATCCTCCAATTTTTGCCCTTGACATCTTTGCTCCCTATGTACAATATCATATCTTTGTGTCACATTATTGCATCCATTTTGATTAATCTCTCTTTCAACAACATCAGCAAGTGAAAATTTATCCTTGTAGGTATTGTGAAGTCCGGCTCCATTCTTATTCAATTATAACTCATATTTCTTTAAACTTACACATCATGATTGTAGAAGGTTGAATTTTAATCTACATGTTTTCTTGTAAAAATAATTTTACATAATTGGCCTGATACTCATAGCCAATAATTTAATTTTCCCACCCTCCATCTCTTATTTCACCTCCTCTTTTAATTCTCACCATCTCTGTCTCCGTCTTTCTAATTCCCCCGTTCTTTGTACCGCCACATCATGAATCCATCTCCTGAGATCACTTACGACGAGTGTGTGCAGCACAACAATGGGAAAAGACCTTACACTGCTCAAAGTTGGCGCGTTTGGGCTGAATGGGGGAAGGAGAGGGATAAGGTAGGGAAGAAGCCTCCAGTAGGCACCAGTAAAATCTAAAAAGGTGTCAGGGAAGGCGCTAAAGAATCATAGAAAGTTTTCAAGGAAGGGGGGAGGATGGGAAAAGCAAATCAGCAAGGTTGGAGTATCAGACTCCTTACATGCTTAATCCACTTATCACTCAACACACAAATTGTCATTGAGAGTTCACGATATTTTTCAAATTTAAACTTTTATTGGTGAAAGAATCATTGTCACATTTATACTCTAAAACTTGCTTGAAAGTATAATTTTGAACTCTCTGTTCATATTTGTTCAAATCTCATCATGATAATTCATAGTATTTATGATAATCTTTGCTAAAATTAATCTTATAAAGATAATAAATTTTAAATATTGGTTGTACATCACAATATGTTATTGATGTGCCTAGATCTTGTATAAGCTTATTTGAAACTAAGTTGAATTTATGACATGTCATGAGCAATCTTGAAACTTATGGATACTCAATATACCACAAAATCAAACTAATTAAATTAACATCTAGTTCAAATCTTTGATAGTTGAATTTCAAACATTGATTGGAGACAAAATATTGATCTTCATCCATAACTTCTAAAAATCATTCCGATTATTTTGCTATTTGTAAGCTTTATAGTTTAACTTAATCATAACTAGCTTAAGTTAGTCGTGATTAAGATGACCATGATCTAATTATTTTGTTAATTCAATCAATATACTCATACAACTACAATCTAGCAATGTGAAGAGTACAACAAATTTTTACTTGTCAATGATATGAATATATCAAAAGAAACAATTCATTAAAAAAGAATATCATGTACCAATGTATCTCATAATCATTCTCATTAAGAGGAAATCCAAAAAAAACAACACTTTTTGAATGAATGAAAGATACAACTTGTTTTTATTTATCAAAAAAATGAAAGCACAAGTTGTATGATCAAAAATTTGCAAACAATCATAAATAGTCATAATTTTGTGACTGAATTTAAATGATTTCAAAATTTTGATTGAAGTAGAATTAGCATGTTCAATTTGATAAATAAGATTTATTGAGCATTGATCAAATAGTAAAGATGATGGAATTTTTGGAAGAGATTTAATTCAGATTGAGTTAATGTTATTCTTGTTGCTTGTACTTCTTTTTTATAGTGCATTCATCCAAGATATTTTGAAAATCTAGACTTGAAATTTCACAATGTACATTGCAAGTATATTTTTTTCATTCACATTCACATTTCCATCACTTGAATTTTGCTTCTGTCAATCTATGAAATGTTTTGACATGACAAAGCATAATTTATGCGAGGTTACCTACGTCTTCTTTTGTCACTACAATGCGATGTGAAGAGATTTGATTCTCGGAATACATGATCATTTGGCAAAAAAGTATCTTGAATCAAGTCAATTATGTACTTTTGGTGATAGATTCATCCTAACGTTTTAGAAGAATAAAATAAAAATAAAATTTTTTTGCTAATTACATTCTTGTCATTATTAACAATTAATCAATTTTTTTTCAAATTCACAAAAGAATTATTAAATGATATGCAGAAGTCTAGAATATTTTGATTGCATACACTTAATCTAATTTGAAGTTTTAGTTTTATGAATGTGTGATTTGTTTCAAAAAAATAATAATCAAAATCCAATATCCAATACAATCTTTAAGTACTAACTTAAAACTATTAAGTTGTGTTCATGAATCTTACATGCTAATTTTTTTAAATCTTTTAAAAAAAAAGGCTGGTAAGAGAAATCATCTCATGTTAATATTTTTTTACCAAAAAAAATTTGCTACCATATGTACAATTGATAGATTTATTGCTTGATAAGAATGCTGTTATTTAATTTATAAATTTTTTGAACAAATATTTAATAATTTATTAAACAATTTCATATCTTTGTAATGTTATCTTGATGTTGATTATGAACAAGATCCAAAACAAGAAAAATTCTATAAATAAATATACATTTGAGATTGTTGGTAATGGATACATTAGTTAAAATATATTCTGACAAACTGCATAACTTAGTCAACAATAGAAAGTTAATATGTAATTGTAAAAATTTTATCAAAAAAATCAATAGATTAATAGTAAGTGTACGTTACATCTTGTTGCAAATTAAATGATAGACGATAGAGTAAAACACATCGATATTAGATATTACACGATAAAATATCTACGTAGAAGATTGAACTAGTCAAGATTGACAATAAATTCAATTCAATTGTGCATTTATGGATATTGTGATTTTAGAAAAAATTTCTAAACATTGTACAACTTTGCAAATTTTTCATGAGAAATTTGCTAACAATTTTGTTATCTCTGTATATGTCTTTAATCTATCATTTTTTACGAAATTTTAATTCTAGTTATTTCGAAGGTAATAACTAGAATATTATATTTCGAAGGTAATAATTTTGATTCTAGTTAATTCAAGTTTATAAATATAATGTTTTTTTCTCTTAACGGAATTTTTTACATAGGTTCTGTATTGTTATGAGTAATTCAAATTAGCAAAATGTTATGAAGTTAGTAAGTAAGTGAAGTTGATTAGATTATCATTATATATGTTTCTAGTATATCTAATGAATTAAACTAGAAAGCAAAAAAAAAATCAATTTTGAATGTCTCCAAGAAACATATGTGAATTCACATAATCTTTAAATGTAACTTTATAAGAAAATGAAATTTTTCTAAGATGTTTAATGAATTGTGTCTGCATCGATAAATCACATTTCTAATGTTAAATGTGTATGTGTGATAGGATAAAAAAAAACCTTTTATATAAATAGTAAAATTTTAAATTTCAAAGTATATTTTTTTACATCAAATTTATAATTATCTTTTACATGAACAAGATTTTTGAAGATTAATGATGTACGGAAGATGTAATTTTCAAATGAAAAATATCCCAACGATGATGTGATATAGTCTAAACAATGAAAGTCTAATCTCCTAGCTATTATTATATGAGACAAGTTTAGGATAGCATCAATGGAGAGTTACAATGCATTGCTTTCTTGGAGATTTGAAATTCCTTCCCACCTATTTATAATTGCGCGGACAAAGAAGAGCGGCGTTGTAGAGTATGAGCTTGATTGGCAGACGGTGGCAAGGGCGCGCCCTGCCGCGCCAATCTTGGATCAAAATCGACGGTCACAGAAGTCCCAGACGGAAAAAATCTACGCTGCTACATCCAACTTTGATGGATCCATGACATGAGCTCTTCCCTTGTATTATTGGCGTGGGTTCTCCATCATAAGCACACTTCTACTTCTTCTTTTTGTATGGGTCGCTATCAAACGCACACGTCAATTTTGTCTTTGTATTTTGGTGAAGATTCTGCAGATGAACCAGCGAGAAGTGATTCCATTGAAGAGATAAGCGATAAAGGCGCCATCCATTCTTTCTTGTATGTTGGTGAAAACCTGCAGGTGCATTCGCGACGAGGTGATTCGAATAATCAAGCTTATACTGTGTATGCTACTTGAGGTCATCCCTCATCTATGTAAGTTTATGACCTCAATCCTTCAATTTTTTCGTGATTTTCATTTGTGTCAAGACAAAGAATTTTGCTGAGGTATAGATTCAAAATCTAAAGCTTCAAGAGGATGCGTTTTATGGAGGTGAAAATTAGATCTGCAATGGATGAATGTCATTGATTCATTAAGATTTGCAGATAAACTGAAGACTCTGCAGATTCTGGAGGATACTTCGTGATAGTCTGTCATCATGTCTGCAAGGAGCGGAACAACAGCAGTCAAGAAGAAACCTGTTTCCAAGTCTCAAAAAGCTGGCTTGCAGTTTCCTGTGGGCCGAATGGCTCGATTTCTGAAGAACGGACGATATGCTAAGCGTATCGGCGCGGGTGCTCCTGTGTATCTCGCGGCCGTGTTGGAGTATCTGGCTGCAGAGGTAGAGACCTACCATTCTCATCACTGTTCATGTTGTTGTGTTTGTCATGTGTTGTTAATATGAACTGCGTTCTTGATTTAAGTTTCAAATAGATTCTTTCAGTAGAAGTTAACATTTTTAAGAGATTGCCATCATCACGTGTTACACCGCGGTATTGTTTCACCTGCTTCTGTTTCAGCGAAGAAGGTGAAAGATTCCTTCTTCACTGGAATATATGCTAATCTTGAGAAATTACGGCGTCCTCGTCTATTGCCGTGCATTCTCTAGAACAATATTCAATTTAAACGAGTTTCTCCATTCTCAAATTCTGGACAATTGAAAAACACAATATTAGACAGATGTTCATATCCGAAATCAGAGCAAATTAGATTGTGGATCTGAAGATTAAAAAAAAAATTTGATTTTTCATTCATATAACTTGTTTCTGATACTTAGATTGAATCTGAGCGTATTGTCATCTTACAAATATATCCACTCTCTCCAGATAAATGAAAAGAATTCATATCATTAGTTCGTTTGTCCCAGTTTCAACTAGACATAGTAATACCTTCGTGAAGGGAGAACTTACTTTCTTAACATCTCAAAGGTGAAATGTTATTAATAACTTTCTGAATTTTTGATGATTCTTCTTCGTCGATGAGATTGTGACTTCAGCTATTGGAGCTTGCGGGCAATGCATGTAGAGACAATAAGAAGACGAGGATAATCCCACGCCACATCCAGTTAGCAGTTCGTAACGATGAAGAGCTCAGTAAGCTTCTTGCGGAAGTCACTATATCTCGAGGTGGGGTTCTGCCGAACATCAATCCGAGCTTGCTGCCTAAGAAGACCGCCTCTAAGGCAGAAAAAGAAGTTGCCGAGGCTGACGACAAGAGCACCAAGGATAAAGCAAAGGAAAAGGAGACGGTTACATCTTCGAAGAGATCCCCCAAGGCCAAGTCCGAGAAGAAGTAGAGAGAATGATAGCAAGATTTCATGCCTCTAGCATTTCTAATCTCAGTCAGAAATTGATATAAGATTACAGTCTCATTTTTCTGCTTTTTTAAAAAAAAAGTTTTTATTTAAGTTGATGAGTAAATTTGACAAATAGAGGGTATGGATCATTGTATGAGATTGTAGCAAGGATGGGCTAGATCAGATGATCAAGAAGAGAGGGATTGATTGCTCGATTGACTGATTCATCCACACGAACTACTCTAGACATGTCGAAGTTACAGCACTGTGTAAATTTGCCTAACCTGAATGATGGAGTGAAGTGGTTTTCCTGGCGTACTTGCTAAATATCTCTTACTCTCCTAGTTTAGTTGCTATTGATGCTGACTTCGTCCAGATGTAACAAACATGGCTCCTTTCAAAACTCACATTTCTTTTGATGTCACAATTACATCTTGAACCACAAATATTCTAAGAAGTGAGATAAATAGATTACACCCTTGACATCTTGCTTGGCCAAATAACCATAGCTTGAATATTTTTTACACAATGTGTCGCCCCAATCTACCCAAGTGTAATATACTATGAACACTCCAACTAATTGCACCTTGGGACATTGACATAAGTTATTTACCCAAGGTAACTTCATTCAATTAACATGCCACTTTCGTACGAAAAGTATCCCCATTATGTTAATACAATAAGAATGGATGCATTCTATACACAGGGTTGAATCACTCGTACTCGTCAAAATCCAATCTCGTATGCATTGTTCCTTATAAATCACCACTGTCTGTTTGATATTGATTTCCCAACAATTGCGTCCACATCTTCCCAACCCGCCAAAATTGCGGGATGTGAAGATGGGATGAGATCTAGCTGGGCGAATCTCCCTATTATGAAGTCTCCTAAAACTCTCCTAGCCCAGTTATCAACTTGCTCTGATAGTTGACAAGATAACTGTGCTGATGATTTTTGCTAATCATTCTCTATTCTGCTCCAACCATTTTATCATCGATTTGATCTGCAATAAAGAACTTATCTGAGATAAAAATTCATGATGACCTCTCTCTTAATGAGTCTCAAGATTCTGGTATTATGAGATGCTGGCCAACTTTGATATATTTCCTATAATCGCATAATTTGACTACTCTATCATCTAAGATCAATGGTCTGCTCGTGGAGAATTACGAATAGTTCCATCTCTTTTTGCCAAAACAATTGAAACTGCATGTTGTTAGTAAGCCCTAACCTAGTTTGCGATGGACCCTTCACACAATTTGTCAAGTACTAACTTATACCATTCCGAGAGTCAGCGCTACATTTTGGCCGGCTATCGAGATCAAGAGGTTGATGTCTACATCATGCATAGCACCAGAAAAAACATTATTAAAAGCTCCTTTTCTCTATATCAGGAGAAAACCAGCAATTTTGTTAAGCATACAGTTGTGCCATCACGATCAAAGGTCAATTTCGCCCATCGTGATCTAATTTTCCTCTCAGGTCGCACTCTCAGTTACTTCATGGCGTCTTGCACTCTTTTCAACACTGCGTTACTCTCCTCTCGGGTCGCACTCTCGGTTATTTCATGGCGTCTTGCACTCTCTTCAATACTGCGTTCCAGTTTTCGATTTGCTCCCTCCTGTCCCTGATCAGCCAAGAATTCTGACTTCTTTTGCTGCTTCTTTCATGCACGAAGAGAAATCTTGGCTATATTTGTGCTATTCTATTTCAGTCCACATTTGTGAATAAAAATTCTTAACAAGTACTGATATGATAAATTATTTCTAAAATATACGACGTCCAATTAGTATTCTCCTACGTCATGATAAAGGATCTTGGAGATATATACATATTCTGAACTCAAGATATGTATATGTTCCCGTCCATGGGCATTTTATCAAGAACCGCATGATCCATTCTTACAATTTTCCTGAGTTTGCAGTATATACGTGATCAACCACATCATTCGGAAAGACCAGTAAATAGAAGTATTTGAAATGGTGGAAAAATTTCATGTAAAAAACCAACTTTAGCTCAATATAAATCACTCTTCATTCCTTACTAAATTGTAGAATCCGAAGATCAAATTTTAGAACAAGCTGATGAAGAACTAAATTTACTGACAAGATTCAAAAAATATACATGAGCAGGAAGTATAAATTCAATGAATATGAGAAAAAATTATATTTTTCAGCGCAGAAAATAGAGTCGTTGTGCTCTTTAACACGCTTTCATCAGTCACACGCTTTCGAGGTTTTTAGGCCTGGGCAAATTGTATCTTTATTGCATTGATTTCATGATCATAATTCCTGAGAGCTTTCAGTGATACTAACTTCAAATATATGCATGTTCAATCCTTTAACATCTCTATCGTCATTGTTAATGAGTTGGAAAGTGAGCTGAAAATTAAGAGCTCTAGAAAATGATGATAGATCCACACAGAAGTGCATGTCATCCAGCATGCACATATTTTGTATCCACCTTTTACGTGGTATATACTTCAATGGCATATACTACCTTAAAGCTGGATAGAGATTCTCTGCACGCTCATCTCACCAGAGTCTTCAATGCCTCCGACCGATGCCATCATTTAGCAGATGGTAGACGTGTAGATTCAGAGAGATTCATGTGACTTCCGAAGAACATGCACGAAGGACATTTAGATTCATCCTTCACGTGCAGCAAAGTCCTCTACTGAGTGACTCTGTTCTTCACAAAGTCCACAAGTCTTTTTAGTTCTTATCTCGTATATCCTTGCTAGTCAAGCAATGGCTTCAAGCATATGTGATGGATTCGATAGTTGACTGAATTTCCAGAAGCGTGAAGGCATGGACCGATCTAAAGGCATCAGGTCTTTTCGGTTGTTTACCACTGTGTTGCACCATATTCGTCCACTTTCGTGCTTCTTTCGCTTTTACCCATCAGACTCACAAGAATGGGCTGAAGTGGCATCTGAAAGCGCAGGTCCCACCTGATCAGGATCATGAGTTGAATCTCGTACAACGTTGAAGCTTGCAGAAAATCCTTTTCTGCATCCATACTTCTTTTTCTGCTGCCAGGAACGGAATCCTCGTGAGAGTCACGTTTTGGTCGTCATCAGAGCCCCCGACAGCATTCATCCAGAACGAGCTAATCCGGCTGGATTTGGAAAGGTGAACACGTAAAATAGGATCCCATTGACCTTCTCCTCCCACTAGAGCAAAGAAATGTCGGTTTTCATCCTTCGAGTGTGGGCTCCCTCCCCACCTCAGTCACCTTGACACAATGATTCTCCACTCCACTTTTATAAAAGACCTGGAGAATCATTCTGCATATCTTCGAAGATGAACCTGCACCGAGTCCCGATGGGATCTGGTATCTGCCTCTGATGGCTCCAAGACCTTAGACCCCTCGACCTTGAACGAGTTGTTGGTCGAGACCACGATGGGGCGGCGAGAGAGATAAAAGAGTTGGACCTCACATCAAGGGAATAGTTCAGGAGGTGGAATATGCCGACAGATATTCCGGATATGCCCGGACTGTCGGGGTCAAGACTGCAGCTTCTTCAGGAAGGTGGGAACTGCGTCCTCGGGAACATTCCCGGTCCCAAATTGTGGGCCTGCCGCCGGCGATGGCCTCCAATGCCGATATCTCAGGGGCTGGTGACATTTTGATCGTCTTCTCCACTCTGGAGGACAACGCGAGGGCTTTTTTTCCCAGCTTAAGGAAAGAACGAGACCGGGCACTCGTAGTCTGACAGGTTGCAATCGGCTGCCTTGATTTGCAGGACGAGGTCGCGCTGAATGGGGGGAAATCAGATCGACCCAGAGGATTACACCAAACTAGCAGCAACTCTCGTCCTGCGTCCGACATCTGGGCCGTGTCTGAAGTTGGCCCACGACATCAGCAGCAGCAGAAGCATGATGATGATGGTCGAGTTTCTGAAGCTCTGCTCTTATTTTTATTAAATATTCGCTCGCATGATTTGAGCAGCTGCCGATCGTTCCACCCGGGCGTTGCTCATAGCTCTCTTATCTCTTTGTCCGAGTGAGCCGTGCACACCAATCGCAGGCTGTGGTATATCCGGGACCTTAGATGGATATGCCGATGCTCGAGCAAAGGACTTTCTCTGCACGGCCTCTGCTTGCGCGAGATTTCATGTCAGCAGCCGCCAACGGCTTCGAGGTCCACTTTGCGATCCTGAGAATGTTCTGTTCAGCACTCGAGCCATTATCTTATCCAACGACCTCGAGATCCGCTCCGATGCCGGGAATGTTCTCTCCGACATCGGGCCTGCCGGGACGAATCTCAGAGTGACACCCTCACGTCCGCATGCAGGCCACAAGAGTCGTGCTCACTGCACTTCGTACGATTCTCCTCCTCCTCCTCCGTTGTCACTGTAACTTCTTTCGTGAACATTTCACTCTGACTCTCGTGAAATCCCTCCGTATGCGCACTGCTTTGCTTTCCGACGTCCTCGTGTCGCCATTGACTGAGCTGTTTCACAATCACACACCTACCCTCTTGAATCGGCTTGCAGAATCTCTCCGATCAAAGCTCTCTGTTTCAGCAAACCCGCTTGTACATGTCACCGTACCGTATCATTGGAACTGACCGAGCGCGTGCTTTCTCCAATCCCCAGGTGAGTTTCTGTAACCTCATGCTTGTCATCTCAGCACCAATTCAGAGGCCCAGGTCCAATCCTCAACTTGCAAGTTTCAGTAAAGAATCTGGGTACTCCGTAGCGTGTGAGTCAAGAGTAATGAGTTGAACGGATCACAACACTTTTCCAGGTGCTCGACATAATGAAGGCGATTGGCTACTGGGTAACTGGACTCAGTTGCCTCTACGTGAGGCATACGAGGTTTTCAGTAGGTTAAAAATTAGCTAGCCTGGACAGTATTTCAACCACCATAATTTACATGTTCCTGAAACGACGCACTGGTTATGCTATCCCTTTAGCGAAGGTGGATATTAACACTTCATCACCAGCTGAAAACTTTCCATGTACTCTTGTACTGGAACTGCTTGGGCATTGGCCAAGTTCATGGTTCCCACTGAAAATTCCACTAGTTCAAGGCCTCGTCAGTCTTCAAGCACTGAACACTGACGAGGCATGTTCAAGCACTGAAGCACGTTCAGTGCTTGAAAGTACATGTTGCGACATGTTGTACATGTTTTGAAGGCAGGTGATTATGGTTGTTGATCTGAAGTAGTGACCAGTTGACCCTACGAAAATTGTTGGAATTTTTAAATTGATTCTGGCCACTTGTGTAACAATGATACTTTTGGGTGCATGCAACTTCCTTTCTTGGGACTCCAGTGTGATCATAAGAAGATGACATTCATAAGCGCATTAGGTTTCTAAGTTTGAAGGTATTGAGACCGAGGTTGACCTTTTGTTGCATGCAACCGATAACCATTGGCCAAGGTATATGTAATGAGCTTCGTTTACGTTTTTCATATTATAGGCGAGCATTCTTCAGGCCGTTCATGTGAACAATCCTAGCGTGAAGGACACGAATTCCCCTAAACCTCGAAACAGTCAACTGCTGTGCAGATGGGACAAAAAGGAACCATAGAGAAACCATGAGGTTCCCAACTTGAAGGTACGTAGATGCCATGAAGACAGGAAAATTGATGAACAAAAGTCAAAATGTGATGATAAGCAAATATAAACTCTGCGACAAGCCCTCCGCCACGAGTATTGTGGAAGAGATGTTATACAAATGAGAAATCATTGCCACGTGCAAGTACCAAAGTTTTGTGATCATGAAAAACGAAATGTACTCTGTTCATTGCAATGTTCAAAACAGTGCTTCTTTTGGATTTACCACATGGAAAGTGGTCTTTCTACAACCTAATCTATGGAAGATCACTTGGTCAAAGCATTCTTCCTCCTGTACTAAAAGATTGTCTATGTACGGTCCTCCATTTGCTGGCATATGTCACAGCACCAACTGGAAGCAATCACAAACAGCACATTGCATGTAGAGGGCTGCTATGCCGAAACGATGCTGTATAGAAAAAGTGGCTTGACCACGACAGCTAGAATCGATATGCTCCTGAAGAACTTCTGCTAAGCGCCTCTGCAAATAGTCTAAACCGACCTGTCACATCACCCAGCAATACAGAACAGCCACTACGTTGGCGTCAGACAGATGTTTCACAAAGTTTTGCATCTCCAACGAAGAACGGATCCATTCAATGCCCAGTACACATTCACAAGAAAAGAGTGCTTCTAAAAGTACCTGGTCATGCTTGGTATCTATTCGAAAGCCTCCACAACCACAATATATTACACGATTGGACTTTTGCAAGCGCCGTGTTCGACAAAGCGGACAAAGAAGTCCCCCCTCCTACAACCCCCAAGTAGATGGCAACACGGTAGGGCAATTCAACTAGGTTTCCAACGTCAAAAATGTGACTGCCTTGACAGAGTCCCATTGAATACAAGTACCAACATTTTCTATTTCGGTAACTTTCAAAGAATCGCATAGGCAAAGACGCGAACTTGCTGGTATGGACCTCTACATCCTGAGCTTTAGAAAGAGTGAAGACAGCCAGCACAGATACAACTGAATTCATTAACTAATCTTGATCAGGGTAATTCATTACCATACGTTTTGGTGTGTTTGTACAAGATATTTCTATTTCCAGCCGTTTGAGGTAGGTACATATTCTCAGGAAAGACCAGCAGCCAAGCTTACCTCGTGTTCTTGCCAATGTTCCACTACAGCAGCAAGTGATTCATCCTCAAAAGCATGTGCGGCTTCATACTCTTCAAGAATAGCAGCTTCTGCACGTGGATTAAATACTCAGCATTGGTGATATATTCAGCAGTTTTGGATAGAGAACTGGTCCCATCATGACTCCGGGACATACTCTAACAGCTTCTTATGAAAACAATGTGAGACAAGTATTGTTGTGCCGGGCTCCGGAACTACTTACTGGCATTGGATTATAGACTCGGAAGTAAAAACTACTGGCCTCACTCTCGGTGCTTGTCATGCTCTTCACAAAACTTCTCATCAAAGAGTAACCAGTACCTCTGCCCACACGCTCTGAATGCAAGTCTTCATACAAAGCGTGCTCCATAGCAAGCATGAGTGCCTCGTACTCTTCATCCCCGAGTTCAGCTGTTGCATCAGGACCGTCATATTCCCAAAGCATGTCCTCTCCATCCTGCTTTGTATTGACATCATGTCCATCCTGTCCTTGGAAAGCTTCATTATGCTTCACCTTCAGCAGCTCGTCGGCGACGATCTGCTCAAATGCAGATCCTACGATGTCCTGCATCAAGCCGTCATAAATGCTCCTTGGTCAATACAGTGGTCCTAGAGATTCCCCTGGAAAATTTCACTTGCAACAAGCAGTAGAAGTCGAGTACTGACGTTTGAAGTCCAGGAAAACACATCAGGACTATGGAACATCCTGATGCAAATCCAAACCCACTTCTCAGACGACGAGAAGAAATCTTGTCAGATAAACTGTCGCTTTGAACAGGAAAAAAAAACATACACAAATCAGCGTATGATTGACGACAGATAAATGCAAGCAAAGAAGAGAAGAATATCAGGAAACTAACATTTGTGACTGAGTTGGCTGTGGCAGGGGCAGCAACCAGTCGAATATCCCAGAGAAGCTGATTTCTCTCCCGCTTCACTCTCTGCACGACGTTCTCCTTCAACTGCAGGGGACCACACCCAACAATGAGACTCCTTTTGAAACTGTGCTTTCGAAACTCCTTGGAGGTCGTTTATAGAGATCGCCCCATCGTACACCTGACAGCTCGATACGTTCACAGTGCGAACATGAGAAACCCTGCTGGACTTGGCACCGCTGGTGATCTGCAATCACTGCCAATCATGGTTTGCTACTACTGCCTCTTGAGTGGTAAACGTTGGCTCATAACTTGCTTCCGTCCTGATCAGAAAGTCATTATCTGGTCACTCGCGAGAACTCGTTCTGTTTTATGTAGTCTTTCCAGCCTATTTCTTCCAATGCGTTCATAAACTACTAGTCTCATCTAGACGACATGGCCAGGTCAGTCCGTTCGCTGCTTACAGAAGAAGACTCATCAGCCAGTCAAGGAGGCAAACGTATGTGCTTTCCTCTCGTACTCAGAATCATGTTGCAGTTGCGTTGTCAGAGACCTTGTACAGAGACAGCCAGTAGGAACTGATAGCTATCGAAACCCTCAGCGTTGCCACGAACATGGCGCATGCACTAACGGAAGCAAGAAGTCGCTGAAGAATTAAAAATAGGATTCAAGTAGCCGCACTCCCCGTACTGAGAAATCTCCGAAGCTGTCAGAGATGGATCCAGGGATCAAGCTCACTTGAAGGTCCTCAGGAGAAGATGCGTGGAGGTGACAATGTTCACAAGGAAAAGCACCGGCTACTGCCTAGTACCATGTAGATCTAACTGTTCACCAGGAACAGACACTAGACCTGTCCATCATGACGAGGTTCCTCAGCAAAAAGTCAGAGGTTTCCTGTGAGAGTTCTAGACAGCTGACGATCGGTGCATAAGCTGGAGGAAGAGCATACCTTCTCTTTCCACTTTCCCCGCAGAACCCACTGCTTCACGTCATTACGGGGTTTGCGACTCCCTGCATCCATGATACTCATGAGATCTGATAAGAACACCAAGAACGGAGGTAAGGAATAGCCCTCATCAGCGAGTGGCACATAAAGTAGGCCACCGCTCAAATAGCTCTTCTCTGCCCACAAACATGAACTTCACATTTACATCTCGGTGGCTCATTGATCACTCACCACTCACTTTTCAGTACAAGTACCAAAAACTAGACTCGAACCGCTCTTCTCTGCCGACAGACATGAACATCTCATTTGCATCTCGTTAGTTCACAGATCACTGACCACTCACTTTTCAGTACAAGTACCAGAAACCAGACACGAAAAGGACCAACCGGTTGTAAGTTGTACAACTATCAAGCTCCTGCTTGCTGGCACAATGAGCCTTGCCCTGCCCTCTCCTCCCCGCCCCTCCACTCCACTCCCTTTCAATACCAGGTTCGCGAACGTGGGGAGCACAAGAGACCTCACGACTAGCCCGAGAATTGACTAGTTTAAAACATCCAGATTGGACTCGTTCTGGGGCTGCAGTCGCAGCCCTTGCACAGCTCAAAAGTGCATTTCGGTGGGAAATGCAATATTTTTTGAAGCTCCAAACACACAAGTGTTACTGAAAAGGATCTCAAAAGTACACTATAGGATGTCCTTCGTCTGGCTGCGTGTCCTTTATCCCAACCTTTTTCTAAAATACATATCGGAGATTCTATCAATTGCTGACGATTTTTGAGGAGCGATGTCGTCCGGACAGAAAATCCGCCAGGAGTGCGAGTTCTGGCAAGTGTCTGGACAGCGGAATCCTGGAGCAGGGAGCTGCAGTAATTCCGCCTGGGTGAGCAAGAACGATCAGTCTTAAACAGACGCAGCAGTCCAATGTGACTCCATCTCTGCATGCACGAATTGGACGGAAGTTGTAGCCTGGAGACTCGGTCTGAGGCTGAGGCTGCAACTGCAGTCCTCTATTGAACGATAGCAGAGCAGAAACTTCCAATTTCCAGAGCGACGTGACCAAGAGGCAATTAGCCTCTGTTGTAACCAGTGGTGAACCCAGCAGCAGCAGCAGCTTACTCCTTTGGGCGTATGCAGTCAGCACAGTTCGACAAGGAGAAAAAATTCCGCCCGACGGGCTAATAAAAATTACCTGAGAGTAGGTGAGGCTGATTGCGCGTCAAGAATTTCCGTTTGATAGAGTTCGGGGGGCGGAAGGAAGCAGGCGGCGGAGGAGGAGGAGGAGGTTAGACGAGAATCAATCCATCGCATGAAAAATTCTGTCACTGCATGAACGAGTGGGCGAGGTTGAATACAGGCCAGAGCTTAAGAATCAGAAGGTGCCGTAATCACCCTAGCTTTATGGCCTGCATCGTCAACGATGGCGGTTGGTTTATCGCGGCGTCGAGCGATGTGCAAATGCACTGCGCGCGAGCGTACCCGAGGCATCATTCACAGTCACATGAAGCCCCGCAGAATCATTCGTCGGATCATTCGTGCATTCATTGTGCGTGTTCCTTCGAACCCGAATATTCCTCCCCAGATCTTCTCCCCCTCCCACCGCGGGTCCCCTTTTCCCCCTCCCTCCTCCCCCTCCTCCTCGTACAGCGTCCGCACTTTCTCTATTCCTTGTTTATTCGACCCTCCGCTACATTCGAGCTCCTTCCCTTCACTTCCCTTCAATTCCCTTCAATACCCTGCGCTGGGCCTTCGTTCTTTCGTTCCTTCGCTCATTCCCTCGAAGCTTTCTTCGTTCGTCTCGGCTTCAAGAGTACTTCCCCCTTGACCCTTGGCGCCCTCCCCCTCGCCAGCTCTCCTGCCACTTCCGATCGTGGGCCCCATCCCATGACCGTCCTCCGCCCGAAGCTCATTGGAGCTTCGACTCCATACCTCAGCTCGGCTCGTTTCGGCTCGGCCTAGCCTTGGAGATGGGGGTGGCGCTGGGCCCGGCTCGGCCGCCGTGATCTGGTGCTCCGGAGGGATTGGAAGGCGAGGGGAGGGGAGGGGCCGAGGGGATTTGTGTCTGGGCAGCGATGGCGGAGCGAGAGGGAAAGAGGTGGGCCGCGACTCAATTGAGCCCACGGTTGGAGATATCGTCGCGAGCTCGAGTGGTTCGATTTGGCGCAGCGAGTCGTCGAGTTGACCGATTGTCGGTGAGCGGATTCGTTTTCGCCCAGTGGGTCGGATTTGTCGTCACACGATTTGGATGTTCCGCGATCCGGTCATGAGCCTAAAAGCGCCTGGCCGGCGGGTGCCTTAGCGAGAAGCTTGCGATGACTGCTCGCATCGCCTGCGCTTCCCGGATTACTCTAATTTGAACATCACGATCTTTCGAGTCGATGCTCCATGGGCTTCCCTCTTCGGTTCCTCGGACAGACTTAGACCTGACAGCGGGGGCAGTCGTTCTCGTGAAATCTGCCGAGCTCATCGAATCTGCGCCGGGAGGAAATCCTCCGTTTTTAAAGAAGTTCAGCTGACTGCATCTCAGAATGAACTTACAATCGGTGGCTTCTTGAAATTAAGACAATCCGCTCAAGATATACGAGGAAGAACATGAGAGCCGCAGGAAAGACCGACCGACACAAGATAAACGGATTGCAACGAAATCGTCCTTGCCAATCACGCGGAGAGAGCTCCGCAGCTCCATCTAGTCAAGGGAACGAACTTGAGCTCCGAAGATCGAAATATGCCAAAAGAAAGGCATTGTATGGAGACCGGAACGAAAGCACATCAGCGAAAGTGCCGGGAGAAAGGGCCAGACTGTGACCCACTCAAGAAAGCCCCCCCGCAAAGGCCTCCGTTCTGCATCATTGGCGTGTTTGAAGCCACTCAATCCACTGACCGACCTAGTGTCGCCAGAAGAGCATTCCAGGTACGGGCTGTGCTACTGCACACTATCGAAATGAATTTCACTTTTCTCGAAATCCCGCCTCTCATCATCATCATCCACATTCGATGAGATTCATCTGAAATCTCCTACAACTTAATCTGAACTCGGACTCTCTCTCTCTCTCTCTCTCTCTCTCTCTCTCTCTCTCTCTCTCTCTCTCTCTCTCTCTCTCTCTCTCTCTCTCTCTCTCTCTCTCTCTCTCTCTCTCTCTCTCTCTCTCTCAAAATTCTGCCTTGCCCTCGTCCAAGCTTTGCCCTGCAGATTCAGGTCCCGACTGGAAGAGGAAGCCAGACTGGCTGCTCGGTCGAATTGCATAGCGCCATACCTCTGCCGCCATGCATGGTATCGTTCCTTTTCTTATATCCGCTTTCAGGCATGTGGGGACAAGGCAAGATTGACCGGTTCCATCTGGTAAAGTTGACTCGTAGGCTCATACTGCTCCAGTAGAACATGGAGTTCTCCGTCAATTCATGATGATCCTGGCCAGGCTGCCTGCTGAAAGCTGTGGATTCCAACAGGGCTCAAAAATCGGAGAGATTAATGGTAGCACCTATTCCTCTTCCGACTCATTGAGATTGGAAGCCACTGTCGAGGGTTCGCGTCATCCCGATGGTAGATAGACCAGAGTTGTATCTCAAAACTCGGTGTTCTTCAGCCGCTGGCTTGGCTTGGCTATGTATTCGTTTTCTTTTATCTACCTTCACTGCTTTTCATGCTATGCCTGTAAGTGGAAACGGAGGCTGAAGTAGCGAGCTCATCGTTTCCTGTTCAGAATGTTGACGGCTGATGTTGTACAATAATGTGCTATAAAGTATCATTCGAGCGTCTGGACATCTCTTCCATTAAGCACTTGATAGGAATTCTCCATGCCCAAGAATATCAACAGGGTGATCATAGATTCCTATCAGTTCGTCAAGAGTTCAACCCCCTTAATTCATACCAAAGAAATCAGATCAGAAATATCGGCTTTGCTCTTCTCCAGTCACAAGAAGAGAAGAGGATGAAGCCGCACAGTCCCAGTCTAAGTAAACCCGTTTGGGGCAGATTTTCTGAAATTTATAATCCTCGACATAACCCACCGTCGTCTTGACTTCAACGAATCACGCAATTCGATTCCACCCAATTCTTTATCATCTCTAATTGTTACTTGCAGTTCGATGATCTTCGAAGAGGAAGTACGAACCTCGCATCGAGATAATTCTTCAAGCTTTTCCTAAATTGTCATACAAAAACAAGTATGGAATTAACTAGGAGACTTGAATCAGTGAGTAGAACACATGGAGTATTCTATTACAGTGGTGGGTGTGAAAGGGCTACATACATAGTTGCCACTATGCTCCACAAGCATGGGTCCGATTAGATCCGATCTCATGATTACAACCTTTTCCAGAACCAAGACGAAAGGCAAGCTACGCCTGCTGAGCTCTGACGTTGAGTTGGCCTCAGATTCTGCAAGGACAACATGTAAACTGGTGGAAGATGTAGCTCAGACGAAAGAGGGGAACATTATAGCAAACTGCCATAGAACAACCGATGGCAGCTTGCTAGTCTCAGGTTCCCGTTTTTCCACGTGGGTTCTGTTCTTTGCCCGGAAACAAATCCCAGGTGCAGCAGAATATATTCCCCATCCCTTTGGTTTCATCCATGGAACACTTGGCGGGTCTTCTTATCTTTTCTACTCTATTTTATTACTTGGTTCTCGTTTTTGGGAAATAAAATCCCCACCGACACTCAATTGCTTCATGCACTTTTTAGCATGGAGGAACGAGTGCATTCGGGCAAAATTGGGTCCCATGCAATCGAACTGCTCTTAGAGGGTTCAATGGATCGAGGGAGGCTCATGCCCGAACGACACTCCTTTCCGAGATCTGGCCTGTTCTGCGCTACATGGTGCCCAGAACTGCGCCCTTCGATCCATCGGCAAGTCGACCATATCTGCACGGGGATGACGAATCGATCACTCTTCTTTGCGCCCGAAATTTTCGAGGCACGAAGAGAATTGAACCCCGCCAAGTGTGTTCTCACAGTCCTGCCGTCAGATTTTCTTCATCCAACGGTGCCGATGGAACAGCGGATACGGATGGATGTGGAAGGGATCCATGCCCAAGCTTACGTGGCTTGCCACGTGGACATTGGTCGAGGGCGGGTGAAGTGGGGACCATATCCGCGAGGGGGGGACTGAGGATCGTTTTCGGGGTCGGGGAAATGCAGATGGCTGTGGAGAATCTTTGATTCGGCCAATTTTGGGACAATTTCTCTTCGGCCCCCGTCGACGAGCTTGCGAATTGGACAGTGGCAGCAGCAGCTAATAAGTTTCTGGAGCGATGGCTGCTGTTTCCGCCGTGAGTGCTACCGTTCCCGGTGTTGCATCGCTCTGCGCGGGCCAGAGGCAGTCAGGTCGATGCTCGGCTGCTGCAGGTGAGTGTTTTTCGAGCGTGTCACAATGCCTTCCTTCGGCTCGTCCGGATTGTACATTCTCCACTTCTGCCCGCATTCTTCGTTCTGTGTTTCCCAGAGGTGGGACGCAATGCAGTCCAGCAGCAGGCAATCTTGCTTGCCCTGTCAATTTAATTGTATCCGATTTTCTTTTGTTGGTGCTCAGCTGAATTGGCAGTTCCGAGAGAGCATTCGAGCACGAAATGGAGCTGCTCGATCTCGAGGTCTGGCGCGCGCAGCAGTGGAATGTTGGGCATTCCACTGCAGGCTGCGAACACACTGTCCACTTCGAGAGTGTCGAAGCAGCACAGGAGGAGCTCCGTCACGAGATGTATGGAGGCTGAGGAACCCACTGTCGACAACTCCACAGGTAGCGACGAGTTTGATGGTCGAATTTACGACATGTGCCCTTGAAATCTACTGACATCGTTTGTGTGCAATGCCGTTGTCTGGAGGCGTTTAAGAGACTTTGACTCGGTGTTTTTCCTTACTGTCACAGTGTTGGTGGTCGGCGGTGGAGGTGTGGGACTGGAAACGATCAAGGCCCTTTCCATGGCAGGCTCATGGATCACAGGGTACCAAAGAAGTGACAAGTTTCGGAAAGACATAGAAGGATTAGGAGCCATGCTGGCAATAGGAGACGTATTGGATACTGCTACCATCGAGAAAACACTGAAGTCCAATTCATTTGATGCCATCGTCTGCACAGTCGGTACAGTGCTGTCACCACAACCCTCTTCTTTTCACACGGTCTTCGTTAAATCACATTGGCCCGCAGAATCGTTTTAAATGGTTTCAGACATCGTGTGAATAAGCCTGATTATATCTCGAGTTTTCTAGGTCGTTTTGATTGATCCTGCTCATGTGGAATCGCTACTCAAGTTGTGTTTTGACATCGAAATTACTTTCTCAGGTGGAGGCACCACTGACCCTAATGTCGACCAGGTATCTTCGCTTTTGAATTAGAGTATTCTTGCTAATCGAATGTAGAATTTAAGCCGGCATATTTTTTACACCTGGGGAACCCTGTATTGTACTAAATCGATGGTCAAACATTTTCGCAATCACCTTAATTTTTGAGGAACTTTGGATTTTTAAAGTTCGAACTCAATTTCAGTTTGATCAAGTTTCTGACTAGGAGGTAGATGTCGTAGCTTGACTTTGAAGGAAACATTATCTCTTTATTAATGAATTGTCGCTCTCTTGCCAATTACTGGGGTCTAGATTCTACGCTGTGAGCTAATATGAGTAGCAGGAAGACTACGTTTCGAAATTTGTTTTCTCAAAGAGAGTTCCGGCAAGTGAAAGAGGCTCATTCTCAACCTCTGTAATTGCTATTTTGCAGCAAGGACCTATCAACCTAGTTGATGCTGCGAAGAAAGCTGGGGTTAAGAGATTTATATTGGTGAGATCATACTCTGCATGTTGATTCCTATAGGTTGGATTATTTTGTTTCATGGAAACGAGATTGGGCCTAGACATGTCATGAAGTTGCGCTTTCAAAGGAAGCTTCAGATTACGATGGATTTCCAGCAATTAAAACTCAACACGAAGGGCCCTCTCATTGCCAGATCTATGTCTTGTTCTTTGGGCTGCTATTGTCAAGGATTTCTGAAACAATAGTCCAGATCTACATCCAAAGCTTTTACAGTGCCGTCTGTCTAATCTTTTCACGAGATTCATTAGTTCCGCTCATTCCACATGTTTCTGACGGGAAAGGTGTTTGTGAGTGTTAATCTATGACCAAAGGCTAATTGCACACTTCTTACGACTAGCAGATATGGTTATTGAAATAGACTTCTGTCGACTGCTGCACCTTCCCATGCGCAATCTTTGTCTCTTGCCAGAAGCCTTGTTACAGAACATGGATTACAGTCTTAACGTATGTCATCATAGGAGAACAAATTATGACATGTGCCGATTGTGCAGATCTCCAGCGTTGGTGTGGGAGACAGCCGACAAGCAGTAGATGAGAGAGTAAGTGCGTAGATTGTCATTCCTTTCAAAGCATACTCTGGCGCGAGCGAGAGGATAGTACAAGAACTTAGACTGTTTGTAGACGCTCTTTCAACGACGGACTTGAGATTTACCATGCTGAAGAATCGAATTGGCTGTTTGTTCATGAATGCATGAAAGAAAGCAAGACGGGTAATGTTTGCCAGGCTTGCCTGCATCCTAAGATAGAAATTTTGAACAGAAGCCCAAGTATGATAAATATGTGTACGCATGACTTGCACATGGACTTCTGCACTATCAGCGTCCCAAGTTATGCAGTGTATCCAACATACAAGAGACTTATGTTGTAGAGTACTCAAGTTGTAAAGAGACCTTTGCATGTCTATTTCTAGTAGCTGACATCAAGAATTGCTCTGCTTTGTGTGCAGACTATCCAAGTTTTATTGAAGGTTTTAGAAGCCAAGGAAGTGGCAGAGGATTATGTGAAGCAGAGTGGTTTGGAATGGACTATCATTCGACCTGGTGGGCTTCTAAGTAGTGCTGTGAGTATTTACATACCTCTAGTCAGCTTTAATTTTTAACTGTGCCGTCTGTCTAATCTGTCTAGACTTTTTAATGATATATGTCTATTAAGAGTCGCTCCGACTCTAATGACCAGTCAACTGCCAAATGTCCAATATTAAATGTTGCAGTGTTAACCTCTTGTTTCCGATTTGCAACATGGGTCTGCAACATGAATTTCTTGATTATATTGTTAACTCCTCATCTCATACATTTTACTTATTTGTTTCATGTGCATCAGCCTCCATCAGGCAAGGGTGTATTGACTGAAAATCTCACAGTGGCAGGCCTCATCCATAGAACTGACGTTGCCTCTCTTGTAAGTAATGTCGTCTTTTACTCATGCGCTGAACTTTCATACTTCTATGTGATGTGTATTCGATACATCTTTACTTGTGAAGTTACATCCTGGAACGGTGCAGCTCTAGGATCGGATAGTTAATCGTCGGCGAATATTGACTGCTTGGGTCTATGCACGAAATCGCAGGTGTTGAAGATAATTTTTGACAAGCGTACCTACTCTAAGACATATACAGCTATAGATGCCGAGAAGGTAACGTTGATTTCTTTATCCTTGTTTCCAAAACATTAAGAAGCAAATCAAGTCACAGCGAGCAAAAGATTGTTTCTCAAATTGTGAGCTTTGGTCGCTTTTTCAGGTTATGCCTCCAGGAAGGTCAATGGACGGCATCGAGTTTCTCTCCCTTGCCTGATTCGTCAGCTCAATTTTCCCATCAAGAGCTGGTCTTTGCTGGTCAGTAAAGTAGCAAAGCCGTGACGTTTTGGAAGATGAGTAAGTTACAAATGGATTGGAAGACGCATTTGTATATGGTGAGCCCTCGAAGTGTGTGTGGGATATTGCGGCGTACCGAGCTAGCATAGACATGTCAAGAGTTCATGACAGCAAGAGCTTGTCTTCACAATATGTTGAAAGTTGTAGAGCTTTGGCTCTCAGAAACCTCCATGCTTGAAAAACAAGAGCAGTTCGGCAATCAGAATGGGCAACAAGTAACTTACAAACAGTTGTAAGCTTGGGAAGGTTGCTTGCTCTTTCAGGCAGTAATAGAACTGTTGACTCTACTTCTGCCATTACATTTCAAGTTTCGATACTCCGAAGAGGGTGAGATTTGTAGTGGCCCTCGGGTACCATTTGTGTACACATGTCATATTAACAATGTATTATCCATGAGGAAAATAAACCTCAGAGTCAGAACATATTCAGAACTCATTAATTGGATTCATTCTTAGTCGTATGAGATAAATACTAATTTGCCTCAATGTTGTTTTATGGGTAGAGTAATCATTAGTAGCCATCGCTGAGGGTTTCGGATTTGTCTAGGTTCATGGTTGCGTTTTAAAATTTCATACATTGCTATCTTTTAATTCAAAAATCAGTTCAGAAAGTTTTTGATGTTCTTTCAAGTATTGATCTCACCTGTCAATAGGATTCTCGGTTGGAATACTACATGAAGGTTGACAAGCTATGCCTTCGAGTTTGTGAGATAGTAGAGACATCGTATGGAGGTGATCCACTTGTCGTGACCACGGTGTCTTAATACTTTGAAGGATAGAGAGATGGACTGAGTTTAGAAGTTGATGACATCTAATTACTGAAGATGTCCCCGAAAGTGGAGGTGATATTGATTTTGTCTAACAGTGGAAGTAATGAGAGTCGTAACCATTGGTTATCATATTTGAAAGCTTTAAATCGTTGCCATGAGGTGACCATAATGTGTCACTCATTTTTACGGGAATATTACTTCATGTCGATGATTCGCCCTTTGGAGGTTTCAATTGAAGAGAGACACAATCCCTGCAACTGTAATCCCACAAGTAATCTCGCTCATATAAAAAGTCGTTCAAAAGAACCTACCACTAGATATAATGGTACTGATATAGCAAGAAAAGCGGACAAGTTCATAGTGATCTTCACTTAAAAGTCAAAGCTCAAGAAGTGACTATATCTAATTAGGTGAACGTGGATGTGACCTTCGTCAAAGTGCACGTTTTTACATGGCAAAGGGCATGTTGCAACCAAGACCCAAAGCGGACATAGGAGTAAAAATATGCATGAATGATTTAATAATTTAAGTTTCAAAATCCTTGAGATAAGAACTAGTTTTTTGTGCTTAGATAGATAAGGAGCTTGAGATTGTATCTATGAATGTTCATCTGATTTATTAGACTCGTTAAAAAAATTCATTTCAAAACTCGTGGCTTCATGAAAAATACAATATCTTAGCAAGGTTAAAATCCAGAAATTTACATTTCCAGATATACATTTTTTTTGTGCATGTCTTAACTTTCAAGTACTTGTTAAACTCTTAAAGCTAAAAAAATGAATTGGTTTGGATGAGATAAAAGCTCTTTGAGCAACAGGATAGTGCAAAGCTACACAAAACCAACAACAAAACTAAAAAACATTGGAATGATGGAAGAAGCGGCCTCTCTAGCGTTCAAGCTCCTAAACCCAAAAACAATTGTTAGTCCATGTAGCACCATGTGGAAATCATCCGAATTTGATCTAAAATTTAGATTGTGTATACATACAATCTAAATTTTAGATTTGCATTTAGATTCTAAATGCATACATGCATGTCTACAAGTTACGATACAACTTAATGTCGAGAGAAATATACAAGCGGCAGAAAACACTATTTTTGGGCACTTGCCATTCTATATTAGATAGAAGTGCTAAGTGGTAGATTACACCTATATTTCATTATAAGTCAATATCAATTGCCTTACTATGAAGATAAATCTAGAAACTTTGATTACTTGGTTTAAAGTTCACTATTTTAAGATTCAAATTCGACTTTCAAGCTAAACATAAAAACTCCCGACAGATTGAAAACAAATATCACAGATAAAAGTTGATAAACATACTGAATTAGAAAATTTACAGCGTTGTTCTTAATATTTAAAGTTACTTTAACTTAGGGGATTGTTAAATTCACTCCCACAGTTGTTAAATTCACCCCGGTGAATTTAACAACTGTGGGTTCTAATTTTCGTCAACTTATTTCTGTCACAGCTCTCACCAGAAGCTGGAGCTAATTTAGGGGGCCAGTGTATGTCTTCTGATTATGCACATTGAGCTCTTGCCTGTGAAGGAATGAAGTTGCCGGCGAAAATCTGCAGGACATTGCCAGGTGAATCAGGAATCAGGTGCCTTGAGAGCCTCACACAGAAACAGGGTGACAGAAAATTTCACCCGTATCGAATCAGGGCAAGTTTCATCCCACGCTTGGTGGAAAAGTCGAGATTTTTGTCGCACGGGGCTGGAAGGAAACGAACCGATAGGAGGAGCTATGACAACTGTTAATATGATGAATTATTGATAGAACAAAGTACGAGATTTATATCAACCAGAGTTGTTACACTGGTTCATGTGTATAACCATTGTGGAGTGAAGTACAAGATTCATATCAAACAGTGTAAAGTATCTTTTTAATGTATAGTGTCTAGATTAAACGCAGATTCCTATATCTCCGATATTTAGATTTCATAACGTGCCAAATTATTGAATCCAAAACATCAAATTAGCGCACAAAATTCAAAGCATTTGGTTCTTTTATAGAACTTCAAAGCTTTTATACACAATCCAGACGAGCGAGGACGCAACTTGTAAGCATCAGGTCGAAACTTTCCCACGGCAGCGACATATAATTGTTTCGGTCTTCGGGCAACTCTTGGATCTTGCCATATCAAGTCTACTCTTGAAAATAAACTTATAACTAATCGTGGTACATTAGGTGAGACAATAAGAGTTTTTCATCCAAGAAAACCAAGAGCTGACATCAGATGGGCTAAGTGAACACGAGGCAAAGTCTAGATTCGATTTTTGAATTGGAAAAACCACAAATCGAAAGTAATTGGACATTCTCATGGGAGGATTCTGGACATGCGACAGATACAAGCATTTTGGTGATTCCATGCATTTTCTCATGTGAAAGTCATAGATGCCGATAAAAAAAAGGACAACCAGGCTCTTATGCCACTGAATACAGCGGCCGTTATTACTTTTACCTGCCCTTTATTTCAAGGTCGGTAGTACTTGAGACTAACAATATGATCATTCGCAAGGAGTTGAATGCTGTCCCTCTCTTCTTTAGAGTGGAGCACAATCTCCGATTATATATCAGGACACTCATGTCGGTAGACCTAAACAGATCTGGATTTTCTTCGCTGTGCGCTCCCAGGCAATGAGACCTAACGACACGTTGGCGTCTTCCAAAACTGTCTCCACGCTAAATGTGGCATTTTCTAAATGGACCGACTCCTGAAGACGAAACATCTTCCTCTCATAAGGTGGCTCATTAAAATTGGAACAAATCGGTCCGCCGAAACTCAGAAATTGGCTCGTAGTGCTTATGACTGGTGAACGAAGTCCACTCCCTTCTGGATGGACGAAGCTAACTCGCTCTTCATTGCCTCCAATGCCTTGCTCTCGTACTCAGTGATCTGACCCAAACCCATGATTTCCTCGACACCATTGGGACCTAGGCGAACCTGTAAAAAACACCAACAAGCATCTTGTAATGATATTTCTAGACATCCGAATATAAATCCTTAAGGTAATCACCAATTTGAGATAGTAACATGTAAGGTCTTCGAATCTTATAGACGATAGAGCCCACTCACTACACAGCACAATTCGTCACGAGTTGAGAAACACTAGAACACTGCCGTATCATACCTTGGAGGAAAAGAAGGGCAACTCGGGAATAATGGAGGACTGCACATAAGTGCATTCGATAACGCCCTTCTGCCCGTTCAGGCCCTTCAAGCAAGCCTCAGCAAAAAGAGCGCCAGCGTACCTACAAAATGATAAAACAATAACTCAAGTCAAGTCAAGGCAGCTCCCATAAGACTAATAGCAGGTGGAACAATCTTGATTCAAACTCCACTTATGTGATCTACGATCACCCACACACCGAATTTTGAAGTCCATGTTTTCGTAAGAACCTGGTAAAAGCATAAAAACGGTAAGTTTTTTCTGATACCAACACAACAGTAAGGACGAAAACTTACGCCATCGACAGAGTTGCGGATCCCTTTCCAGCTTTAGCTTGGACAACTTCGGTTCCTCCGTCCTGAGTGCGCTTGGTCAGAGCATCAAGCTCCTCGCCTTCGAGGGACTTCTTAGGGGTAGCCTGCAATCATTACGGCGAGAGATAAACAAGCGATAGTAGGAAACAAATCTATGAACCATAAACATGGAGGGCAGACAGTGTAATTGCACTTTCAACGCAGAAAAATGTCTCAAAGAAACCCACCTGGGAGAAAAGAGGTAGAATCGTGATACCAGCATGACCACCGACGACGGGAACATCGACATCTGCAATTGAAGTCAACGTCTCAGTGACCGACATGATAAGGTCCTACTTCAAAGGCAGATAAAAGCCGGACTGTAACACAAAGAAATATAAAAGATGGATGTCGTGCACAGTTGGCATAAACATACCTCTCACATTGAGGCCTTTCTTGGCAGCGTAAAAAGTCCTCGCTCGAACAACGTCCAAAGTTGTGACACCGAACAACTTCCTGGGGTCGTAAGTACCGGCCTTCTTGAATACCTCAGCGGCGATAGGGACAGTCGAGTTCACTGGGTTACTGATCATGGCGACGAGAGCCTGCACCAATGTCAACCAGACTTAATGGTTAGTGATCGGATTGATGTGCACAGAACTCTATTCCAAGCCAAGGAGCACGCCTTATCCTCACACTCACGAAGATGTGAAGAAAGCTCTACACTCGACCCAGAATGACAACCGGAAGATCTACGATTATCCAGCAAAGGAAAGGAATTATTTCGACATCCTCTAGCATTTTTGGGAAAAACAACAAGACCACAAGAAACAGCACATTCAGAAATTTCAAAATGGTGTCAAAGAAGCTGCCACATACCTCTGGGCAATGCTGAGAAATGGCGGCGCAGAGTGACTTCACAATGCCGGCGTTGATCTTGAATAGATCATCACGGGTCATACCGGGCTTCCTTGGAACTCCAGCGGGGATGATAACAATATCTGCTCCTTCAAGAGCCTTTCCAAGATCTGCATCTCCGGCGTATCCGGATACCTGCAGTGCAACCGAGGTCGGCACTAACCGTTAAAGAACACAAGTCTGAGCTCAGTGGGGGATCAGCAACAGATGAATCTAGGCTGGACTTAGAAATCAGATGATTTCTGGCACAATCAAGGTAAATGAAGATGAATCAGATTGCGTGATGGTCGGAAGTGTAAGAAGTGGTTTCGAAGAGTGAATCCAATTATTAAGACCATGACTCACAAACAGAATCAACCTTTGCTTTACTTCAGCACAGGCGCCATACGCTTCAAGTATAAAGCTACTTGCTTTGATTGCCTGACCTCTAACATAAAGTACATCTAATCCAATATCAAACCCTGTTCTAGGGTTGAGGCAATGTATTCGAGTCCAGATCTCAATTTTCCCATCTCAACTTGCTACACCAAATCGGCTTTTAAGAGCTTACAATTACATACCTTTCAAATAACAAAACCATCTACAACGATAGAGATCAAACATGTAAGCATTCAATCGCAGCTTGCGAAATGGCTCTCATCGGCATGTATGACCACTAAATGGTTCGTGATCTAAGACAGGGCAGGGACACAAAATGTCAATCAAAACATCCGCGCACATTCTGTCACGAGGTGAAGTTTTAGGGCCCCAACCTCGGCGGGAGTGTTGCAGTGGCTGATGTCGGCGGCGACTCCAGGAGTTCCGGCAATATCATACAAGGAAAGATGAGTGACCAAGGGGTTCAGCTTCATGAGCAGTCCGAGGGGCTGTCCGATACCACCAGCAGCTCCGAGAACAGCAACTTTGCGCTGCGGTCCGCTGGAGCTGGACATTTCGCGGCTCTGCTGCTTCTGTACATGTTGCCCTACGAGCCTCAAGGACCTGACGATCGAGCCCCGTGCAGATGCCATATTTCGATCTACGACCTCGAATACAAAGCTTGACTGATACACTGACAGACAGACGGGGCGAGAGCAAGAGAGCTGCTGAGGGTCGATCGATCGATCAGAGCACGGGCAAACAACGATTGCAGCAAATGCGAGCTGCTGCTGCTGCCTTTGTGAAGGCCCTCGCCTCGTCTAGCCTCTGGACTCGACGCTCGGCCCACTGCTTCTCCATGCACACGGCTCCTTCCTTCGAGGCCCGCAAAAGCCAGCCACCGGCTACTGCCAGTCACTCGACCGGCCATCCGCATCCTCGTCCGACTCATCGCCGTCCATTGACCCCGACTATCCGCGCGCTCCTTAGCTTCCGTAGCTTGTGCTCTCCCATTCATTTGTTTTTATTTTTTAATTCGTCCAATTGTTTGTCCACCATTCCATGCAAGCTAGCTTACAAAAGATGATGGCAGCCCCATCCAAAAGGTATGGATGGTTGGAGTGCTAGAACACTGGTAATGGTAAAAAGATTTCAGCCGTGGGACCCAAAGTGCCAAAAGGTTGAAAAACACAAGTCATTCGTTCACCGATATATAATAGAGATATTAAAACAACTCCATGGAATTATCAAGGAAATTGCACTGTTAATGAGGGAGTTAGACGTGAAGAATATGTAGAGTATTTTTCTCATAACTCGAATGAATCGGTTACGCGAAAAGATTACCATAAACTTCAGGGGTAGATACAACTTTTCTCGATGTTTTCATCAAATAATATATATTTCAAAGTTTTTTTTGGTTCTTTACAAGCTAGCTGCAGCTAAACTTGATATAGAAAGGACATTTGCTTGTACCTGCAAACGCTTGCATATAACGCTTGGGTATTTAGATTTGACCAAAACAAGAATCTCCTTAACCATCAAACGTATTTACTCTGAAGATTATTTTCTTACTTGCATATAGTGACCCATGTGTATCTTGCAATATACATCTGCAGTATAAAAACTGTCTCTCATCTTGTTCCAATCTAGAGAAGTTTCCATTCTATAGAGTTGGCTACACAACTACAAGACGAAACAACTTACCCTGCTTCCACGATCATCTTCCATGGTACGAAAATTTGTGCTGGAATATGAAATACCGGAAGAAAAAAAATTGCAGGAAAACGAATTTTTCCCCCGAAAAGTACAGAAAAGGCTAGATAGAGATGGTGGCACTTATTTCTCTAGCAAAGCAATATAGCACAAATATAATTTCTTACAATGAAGACTGCAAGATTACAATTGGCCATGGCAGTCGATGACTACAAAGCAACGCAACTTCTTGTAGCGTGTGGCGGGCTGCTCCCGGTTTGGGACGGATACGAGGGCGAACACATCTGCTCCTGTTGATATTCATGGACAGGTGTTAGAAAAAAGTCAAATAGTAATCTAAAGTTGAAGCCTGTTCTGGTCTTGTCGATTCCCGATTTTTAGTTTTTGGTTTGGGACCTACTGGTGCAACAACTACAGTTCGACTACCTACCACGTAGAAAACAGTTGTTCAACATCAACGGAAATGAAATTGCCAAATGAAGTAGTTGTATTATTCATATTTTCTCTTAACCAACAAACCATACTCTTAAAAAATCACTTTTTTTAATTCATCCTAAATAATAACCTGACACACAATTTGTTGCGGAGTCGGAAGCATAGAATCTAAAGTAATTATTGAAGAATCCTTCAAACGAGAAATCACAAGAATTTTTGTGATTTCTTTCAATTTTTCTACATTCATTGTAGTGATCGATCACCTTTATTTTCTTTTTTAAGCTTATGGAAATTTAAGAATAAAGACTAAAAACTCTTATTTATTTATTTTAAGTTTTAAATATTTTTTTCTAAATAGGTAAAATATTATAAATCATTTTAGGGGTTTTAGGACATTTTTTATTATTTTATAATATATAATACTGGATAGATCAATAATCAAGTATGTATCAATAATATAATTTGATATCATCAAAAAACAATAATATTTTTTTTTGTAAAAATAATCTAAACACATTTTATCCATTTATACAAATTCAACATGTTGCAAAATAATCGTATTTAGAAATGACTCATAAGAAATTGTTTCAAAATTTCAATTCTTTAACTAATTATAAAATCATAAAGATTGTTATTTCAAGTTGCAAAACTTTCAAATTTTAGTTTGCAGTAATACTAAATTTATATTAGATTTCATCAATCACATTTGTTTAATAATAAAAACTTTAATTGATAGAAAAATGTCACAAAAAATATAAATAAACTTTTATTTAAATATTGAATAAAAAATTTATTTAATTTCATTTTTTATAAATTTCGTATTATTAGATAAAAATAAAAAATTAATTTATGTAAAAAAATTTATTAAAAACATAAATAAAATACATAATGGTTAGTACTTTATCACAAGAAAATTAACGATCTACAAAGAATTTTTCATGATTTATCACTTTGGACTATGCACATGATAATCATGTTAAAATTTAACTTTCACCTTGATTAAATTCAATTGACTTAATCTCAATTAGTTAAACTAATTAGTCTTTCACTATATTAGAGAAATAATCAAAGATCCTAATGGTACAAAATTATAATTAGAATCAAATTAATCAATTGTGTTCACGTATAATAGTCTCAACAAAAGCACATAAATTTTTTATGTGTTAGCTATCTATTTGCTCTATGTGCTAATTTTTTTATCCTAATGATTATTATTAGAGCGTACAAATACAAGTGAGCACTGTTATTTGTTCTAATTTGCTCCAAATCAATTGACAAGACTGCAAAATCTACATGCAAGTACTAATGATTCTTTGAGCAAAAGACTTCAAATAAGTAATTTATGGCAACTTGAAGCTTCAAAACTGAAAGCAGTATCACTCAAAGCGAAAAAGCTTGAAGTAATAGCATTCAAAACAAAAAATCTAGAAATAATATTGATAGTGAAAGAGCAAGTTGAACCAACGTTGGCAACTCAAGGCTCCAAAACTAGAAGCAATATCACTCAAAGAGATAAAACAGGAAGTAATAACTTTAGAAATGAGAAAACTAAATGTAGTATTGTTGAAATTGAAAGAACAAGTTAAACTGGCTTCACTAGAGTGGATAACAATGTTTTGAGTCTCTATTTCTATGACGTTAATGGTTACTTTAAACTTAGATTGTCAACACGATTTCCAATCCGAAATCCACACCCTCTTGTAATTAGAAAAAGCATGCGCCTTCATTGTTACTATCACGTACATGATAATAATCAACACAATGCTCAGACTGTATTGTTAATCAAAGCAAAATGAACATTAAGATATTTTTATATTTACTTTGTTTTGTTATTCCTTGTTCCAATTTAGTGACAAGATTGGGTTGCAATCCATTCTTTCGAACTCCCAATACGCTTCGCGTATACCGAGTTCAAAAATCTATAGTGTAAAATGTCATTTCATAAGGGCAGGAATAACCATCATGGCATCTGGCAATTTTGTTGGCCACAAAAGCATTGATGTCATTCGCAAAAATCTGATCGGTAGAATTTATAGTGTGTAGGTTGTAGATTTAACAAAAAATTTGATTAATCTTGATTATATTTAGCTTTTGATGACTAAATTCAGCTATCAAATTTATATTTGACGTAATGATTATCATACTTGTAATTTTTATGGATTAAAAATGTTATTTTTTATCCTATTGGAGTTTACATTTGCATGAAATAGTATTTTTTTCTTACATGTTAATTTTAATTGATTTGAATAAGTAGTAAAAATTTATTGTTTAGATGGAATACAAAGTTTGATTTGATGTCAAGTTGAGATTCTCAAAGTTTCAAGATACGCAATGACATGTTATTATATAAGATTAATCTTGAAATTAAATGAGTAAATAATTATAATTAATTAACAGCATGATTTATTAAATGTAAGTAATATAGAGTTAAAAAAATAATCTCATGCAAGTTTAGGAGAAATTTTTGTGTGAAAATTTGTTTCATCCAAAAATTTAATTTTGCAAACCTAAACACTTCATTGAAATCTTTTATCATCAATGAAGTGGCAATTTTTATTAGGGTGTTAATGAGAATATCTGTTGATTGATAAGCGGAAAGATTGTGTGATACATATTGTATTTACACAAGAGCATATGGACTAAACTTAAATTTTCAAAATCATGATAAAGTATGAAAAGATCATCCGAATTAAATCTGAATGAGAATCAATTCATCAAGGGATAATTGATTAAAATGATAGAAGAATAAAAGCTTTATGACTGTTACTTTAGGTAATAATGTACATATAGCAATTATTAGACATTTTAAAGATTTCAAATTTGATTTCGGTGTAAACTTTTTAGCTGGGTGAATAACAACTACCTGTAATCTAATCAATGTTTAAGATGAAAAGCAATTTAGCTATGACTTCGTTGAGATAAAGTTTTAAGATGTTTGAATGATTAATTTTTTTTACATGCTACTATGCACATTAGTTTCTTGTAGAATAGAGATATTCAACCAATTTTTGCATTTCACAATCGCGATGAGATCAAATTCAATCAATTTGATTAATTCAATAGATTGATTGCACATATAATAACTTTTGAGCTAAAGCATGTTTTGTTTGTTTTCAACCAAAACTTTCTTGAGTGACTTTCATAAGTAAATTTCCATATTTTTTTGCATAAACACAACAACAAGACTACTTATATTTCTTTTAATGAGTAGAAATGAAATTTGTTTTAAGACTCAACACAAATGACAATCTAAAAAATGTAATAAATTGAAATGGCTCTTATGAACACTAGGAAAAGTGTTATTGATGTTGTCAAATCTACCGGGCTTGAGGATATTCCGATCGAGTGTAGGGCATTTTGTGACACATCTAACTAGTGTATTTTAATATCAACAGCAAATTGTAAATCCATTTGCTGTCTATCGCTCGCGATTTGTATTGTCAAGATCTTTGTCTACGTGTCCCGCTAGTTGGTAAGCTAAAGCTCAAATCCATACAACTGATGATCACTGTACTGTATTTTCTCCTCCATCTGAATATAGTTTGAAAGTTGTAGACAGCACTAGAGCCATTTGAGCGGAGTCTTGCTTTAAATCCTGCAATCTGCACACCTGTGAATGCTCTGATGACACGACCAAAAACTTCGAAATATTCTGAAACGCGTCTATTAGTTATGGGACGAACCCTGAACCAAGGCGGTGAATAATGAAAACATTTGTGCGCATGCAAAAGTGTATCCTTCTGATAATATAATGCTGTCCCAACCGAGAAATTCTACACATAAAACATTGTGGTCCCAAACAAAGAACCAGGAATGGAGAGCGATAGTTTATCTCCGACGGAATAGTTTACAGATCTGGTGAAAGCAGGACCTTGAGTTTCTATAACACACGGCTTCAGGTCCTGTTACAAGGCAAAAAATGACATGGACTGGCGTGAAAGTAATAGACACAAACGCGCAGAAGTTCACCTCTCTTTCCTATTTCGTTATATCGTTCATCCGGAATGATTTAGAGAAATATAGGAGAATATAGAAGATTTGCGTGCTTCACATTTGTACGTTGTTTGATGACTTTGGGGCTGACATACTTTTACCAGGACGGGAATCCACGTATTAAATATTATACTCTGTTAAAAATTAGGATTTCTGATCATTATGGCAATGGTGGATTTATAAGTCTACTGGATCCAATAACATTACGAGCTCAAAGTTTTCAGAAGAACCAGTTCCTACTCAAAACTGTGCACAGCTCGCGTTCGTGTTCCACTTGGCGTAGCAAAAAGATGGTTTGGAGCCAAGAGATTGAACTTCTTCAGACGACTTGCCAGAATCTGTGAACGTCATTTCATACGCTAATAAAGCAATTTGCGTGTATACTCTCAAGCTTCATACCATCTTCACATGAGGATGAAATGTCAATTCTGTATTTCAGACGTACAACAGCACCGTCCAAAGAAGTAAGCAAGGTTCCGGCTATACTCACAGTGTGGTATGAAGCTACTACGGTGTAGCAGTGAATCAGTTACATCGCCCATAATCGGACTAGACTGTCCTCTAGTTGTCTCCTGAGTTTTCGAACCTTTCAGGCTTCGTATAAGAGTATTCGGACAACGTGTATTCCGATCTTGACTACTTTTGAATACTTTAGCGATTGACAGTGTAGATTCATTGCTAAGCCCAGACAACTTTTCTCTAAACCCAGGCTTACAGTGGAAAGACCTATTCGTTCAGGCTCTCTCAAAGAGCCAGGCTCTTCTGGAAATGGGAGTTCGATCTCGTTGGTGTTGTGAAGTTGTAGAAAATGAAATATGATCTACCATATTATCAGAGGTATACCTAGATGTTTTAACCTTCCAAGCTTCAAGCTACCTGGATTCTGCTAAATATTCCGCACTGTCCGGGCCTCCTTGAAGGTACAAAGCTTTTAGGGTCCTGGGAGTTCAGCTAGCTATCAACAACAAGGGCCCCAACTTTGATAAGCATATGGAAGTTCACGAGTCCCTCGCATCCCTTGCAGCCTAACAGTGCACTGCATGATTTGATTGCTGAAACTCTGATTGAAGAGCTAGAATTAGCAGTCAACAATCGCCTCAAAGTTTCGTTGCTCTCAGTTACCAAGAAGTAGTTGCGAGAGCTAAAAGGTAAACTGGAGAGAAGCATGTGTTCGCAAGGTCAACAAGACCGAAACAGCCGCACAGTGAAGTTTAAACCTATGGTACATAACGTCAGGAAAGGAAACTTGCCACAGTAGAACTCTGAATGCCTTCACGGGTCATCTCGCTGAAAAACCAAAAAAATCTGCGTAATTGAAAGAGACCTGAACAATACGTAGCATAAAGATCTGGCATAAAGTCTAAACTGACTTCAGACGATTCCATTCAATTCTTACTTTGAGTCACTTCCTACGTTACTAGTTCAAGTTCACAGCAGTCTTAGTTCGTTTGTGTTATAAGAGATCTCATCTCTGTTTTCAAACAGAAATGAATATTCTTATCTGTACTCACTCTCATAATGTGCCCTAATGTCAGAAGCAGTTTCTTGAAGGACTAGAACAGAGTTTTGCTTCCAAGCCTCAACAGGCTGGAACATTAGACAATGCTTGACAAAACCACTCACAGGGGTTAAGCGTTCCCGAGCATTTGAAGAAGCAGTTTACTTTCTTCTGTTGACATTTTGCAAGAAAACGATATGTACATGACATCGTCAGAGATGGTGGAGACAATGTAAGAAATGTATCACACGAGGAATGATCCACTCATGGTTATCAAGCCATACCTGGCCTTAACACAACGTAAATGCTTCAGCAGAAGATGGTACAAGTGGGTCGTGTTACCAACTCTGAAGTCGAGCAGGTCACTTTCATCAGTGTTCGCTGCCATCTCACGGTGCATAGAGCAATACATCGTCCTGGCGAACTCGGCATCCTCCAGCGACTCAGCAAATATCATCCGCGCTCAATCTGCATCTCCTAGTGACAAGATCTAGCCAGGGACTGATGTGAAAATAGAACATGGCCCCAGCTGGGTAGCATCCTCTGGATCTCAGCACAAATCATGCGCTCTGTCTGCGTCTCCTGCTCACACCAGCCATGGCTACATGCCCAAATAGAACGACGCCTGGCTGATCGGCATCCTCCGGCAACTCAATAAATTTTATCTACGTTCAGCCTTAATCTCCTACTCACAATAACAACTAGGGCTTCATGTCGAAGCGGGGAATGAAGCTACACATCGTAGCGCTGTGCCAGGATCCTTTCAGTTCATGCACATCAAAACGCTTAGTATCACAAGGATCGGGAAGGAGGCGGCATTCCAACGTTTCAGCGTTGATAAACGTGACCTTATTGTAGCTCTGTCTGCATATGGTGTACAGGTATCTGGCTTCTCCCGTCATGCTGAAATTGCTTCCGCTATATCTGTTGGGGAACCACTCTATTGCATCGACCTCCCAATTCTCGTCCCAAACCCAACGTTGGTGGGCAGCCTTGAATCTCAACAACCCGACTTTCCGCACTTCGTTCTGGTCAGAATCGTATATTTGGGCCACAATGCTGGGAATTTGTTCTTCGCTATCGTCACTGGGATTGAAGATCAGTCTGAATGGCATAATTTGGTAAATGGTGTAAGGGCCCGAAGACACCATCACGGAGAACTCATCCCTTTCGACGTCGTAGCGTACAACACAGAGCTTCATCTGGTAGGGTATGGAATCCGGAATTGCCCTCTCTTGAAGAAAGTAGATTGACCCCTTGCGAACCGCAGATGACCCAATGTAGATGGGACCCTGCCTGGGAAAGGTCGCTCCTTGGCTCCACTCCTCAGTGCGAGAATTGTAGATATGGGTTCTCAAAACGGGACGAGTCTTGGAGTAAAAAAAGTGCACAATCTTGTACGACTTGGATTCTTCGTGCACGATGAGCTCATACGTGTTGTCGAAGCCCGGACCCTGATCGGGATCAGAGGCACCCGCGATTTGTCTCCAACTGTTGGTCATCGGATTGCCGACCCAGAAATGCACCAGAGGTTGGAAGGGCACCCGGTCGCGCAATGCGACCAGCCCGACGTTGGCTGCCTTGGGAAAAAGGCTCATGCACGAATTGAACGCTGACTTGGGAAGAGGAATTGTCATCCACGAATCGGTGGAGTGATCATACGCTCGCCCGTCGTGAATGATGTCTCGCTCCCACTGCCAGCTCCCGCCGGGAGTCAGCTGTTTCATCTTCTTCAGCGGGCAGGAAAGGATGCAACAGAGCGTAGTGTTCCTACTCTTCTGCGTTATGATTATCCGATTCCAAAGCGAGCACACGCTGCGCGCCTTGGCCAAGCTCACGGGAGGCAGCCACGACAGGATGTTGCCGACCGTCCCCTCCACATGGAAAATATCGTGACACACTCCTTCTGCTCCTGTTCCTGCTCCTATTTGCTCCCTGCCCACGCTGGAACTTCCCTGCGCCATGGCCCTCTTCCCGACCGCCCCTCGCCTTCTCGGCCTCCCCCGCTCAAATTTCTTCGCGTAATCGTCCCGACCTGGCTTCGCCTCGCGAGTCCGTGTCTCCTCTTCTCATGGTCCCTACTGCGGTCCGCGCTCGGAGCTTCTTCTTGTGGCACGGACTGCTCTAGCGCTGCAAGATAGACCGGTCTAAGAAATATGGAAACTCCTAAACTATATCGTATCTAAACATCGGCATTTCCTCGCTGTTCTACGACGGTGAAATTGATCCAGGTACATGGGGCACGAGCCTCCCGAGGGCTGGAATAGCATCGATCCTTCTGGTTCAAGCATCATCGTCCATCTATGAAGCAACCCCATCGCTCGATCTCAACACCTGACAGCTCCAAGCAACACGGTCGAAGCCATTCAATCTCAGATCAAGAAAGTAGCCACTTCTCGACAGAATCAGCTCGTGTTTAGCCAGCCTTCCAGGGGCGCAGTCGTGAGCTCCTCGGCAGGTCCCATCCGGCCTTGGCTTCGCACCGAGCCAGCCTGAACTCCGAGCGAGCGGACGAGGAAAAGTTCCCTTCGTGATCACAGCGTCCTTTGAAGGAACTCTCGGAGCCTTCTCCAGCTCTCACATCGCCAGTGGGTCCCCCATGCTCCAGGGGATGAGATCTTGCGGGAGTCATCATCTGGCAGGCCCCGAAATCGATCATTCCCCCACTCGACCAATCGTCAATGCAATTTCCGGCCCTGCGCGCTGCCTAGAAAAAAACCTAGGACGTGGTTTCCCACCTCACCTCGCCTCCCCTCCCCATCCTCCCTCCCTCCCTCCTCGACTCCTCCTCCGACTCCGACGACGACATGTTTAATTCGATGTGCGAGCTCTGGGCCGAATCCTCTCCACCGTCATCCCGCTTCAGTTTCCGGATTTGTGGGAATTCGTCAAACCTCATGTCGGCTGTGCTGTCCATACGGAACACAACCGGCAACCAAATGAACAGATGTCGTTTGCCCCTGGCCCGGATCGCATTTTGACTTGTTCCGCTTCCCAGTGGATGTTGTGAAACCACCTCCGGCGCCCCGGCCACATCCCTTACATGTGAACCGCAACCCCGACGGCGAGCAACTCCGAGCGCCCGCAACTTGCCCCTCGAGCCTCCATCCTCCTTTCTCCTTCCGCCATCGGATAATCCTTCCAGCCCATCTGCCCGCTTTTGCCTCCGTCACATGCGCCCGCATGCTTTCCTGCTTCTAGCTCTAGGCCTCGTGATGTCATCCCCCCTTCATCATCCTTCATCTGATCACCCCCTCCACCGCCATTTCGCCATTTCGCTCCCTGCTCATGCAATTCCTTCCCAACTTCCCCTCGCCTTCCCTTTCCACGTCACCCCAGATCCCGTTCCCCCGTCATTATCAATAATGCCACTGGCAGTCGTAGGCTCCAGAGTCCCGATGTTATCTGACACCTCGAACCCGAGATTCTACGGATTGTTACCAAAGCCTCGACAAATGTTTCCGGTATACTGATCCCTCAGAGAGAGAGAGAGAGAGAGAGAGAATGACGCTCACGAGAATCTTCAGACTGCCATTTCCTCACTGAATTTTCCCATCGGAACGCACTTGAGAGTTCGGATATTCTTATGGACATGGTTTGATTTCTTTCTCTCTATGCTGGAGTGGCGTAGCTCATCTCGGCGGATTTGTTGCTTGCGCAGCTTTTGCGCTGTGTGAATGTGCAAATGCAATTTGGTGCTCGGGAGGAGTGATGGAGTAAGTCGAGTCCTGCTGCGGGTCCTTAATTTAGTCTTGGTGCTGCGGTGCTGCTGACTTGGAACGTGGGGTACTTTGAGGTACATGCATGACGCCGCCCGGAATGAGCTGTCCAGGCTCGCTCTGAGTGAAATTGGCATACATGATCTCAGGAACAAGAATCATATCTTCGTCAATTATGTTAGCCTCTAGAATAAGTCGAAATAAAATTTGACAATCTACAACATGTGCTTCTTCCACGACTAGAGATGCCTTGTTGTGTTCATATTGTAGTCTTTTACTATGAAACTTTCTTATATTAATAAAAGTAATATCAATAACAATCCATCATCTATCAAGGCTCTGAGCCTACTTTCATTAGAGTAAAAACAAATTCTCTTTATTCGATTTTTATCTGAACTTTATTCATTCCAAAGATATATTTGTGCTAATTTTCCAAAACATTTCGTTCCTACGTAGAGATAACACTATAAATTTAGAGATCTCAAATAAGATCTCAAATCGTGTTACTACGCGATTAGGGGAAAAAACTACATGTTAAGCTCAAACCTCTCATGTACTCTTAATCAAATTTAGCAGTAAAAATTCATACGATGTGAAGCAAAGCAATGACTTAATCGAAAATTTACAATCTATAAGACTTATTAGAACTTCAAAAATAATTGAATGCTTTCTATTGAAGTTTTAATTTTTTCACACCAAGCTAAAAGCTGAATATTGTTTCTGCTTCGAAGGTAATTTGAGCCTATCTGATACGTATTTATTTATTTTCAAATATTGAAAAACAACAAAAAGATTTATTGTTTAACTATGTACCTATGTGAACAGACATATATTTCCTATGACTAATTGTGTAATAAAAGATCGAAGTGTATTTTTGTCAAATCTAGGATTCAAATGAGTATTTTGATGTATGTTTCAAATTTGTATGGATCAAATGATTAATTATGTAATTTTAAAAAATTCAAATATACTTGTCCAATATATCTACAAGATTAATCTTATGTAAATGTGATCATTTTTCTAGTTTTTAAATCATTTTTTGTTCATGTCATTAAACTTGATGGAATATTTAAAAATGCATCATTATCATAACATGTAGCCATATTGATATTAACTTACCAGTTTAAAAACCAAAAAATTAATTTCAATAATCAACTGAAAATTTATGATACTTTGTATGAAAACTTTTCACTACGTTGCCTAAATATATATGATTTTTTCCCCATTGTATAATATATTGGTTTAATTCATGATACCAAAAACATTAGACAATATAATGCATACAAAATAAAACTCATCCTACGCAATTGATTTTATAATGTCTTTAGGTGAATCCAAAGATATATCTTCTCACTATGAAATATAAGTTCAACTATATATACATCAAAAGTACTTAAAATTAAACTTTCTTATGTGAAACTGTGTTATATATATTTTAATCTTATATTAAGAGATTAAAAAAAACTAGGATCATGATATTGTTTTGAAAATTCGTATGACATATATACTGTCAAACTGTTGATGTCATGAATCATATTTATTTACAAGGAAATTTATTCTATTTTTTACTTTTTTCAATGTTATGTGATTTTCATACTGATAAACATTTTCAATGAATTTGACATTTAAAAAAGTGATTCACAAACTTCGTGCATATAATACACAAAAGATATCTTCAAATGTGTTACATAAATCGTGACACATTGCTATTATCATCCAAATGGCATAAGAACTCTAATATACTTTACCACATTCTAACTAGATAAAGTAAACGAAGAATTCCAACAACTTTCAATGAAGCTTATGTTATTTTTCTTATATAGGTACCGTGTACTAATTTAACAAAAAATAGTCAAAGTTATAATATTTGATCAAGTTTTGACATAATTCATAATAGATTTTCTCTTATCATAATATTACCTTGAAATATAATATCATTAGAAAATATATTCGTAAATTTATGTGATTATACATATTTTATTTATATTATAATTTATATAAATATTTTTAAAATTTAATGTATTAATTTTTTTGGATCTTTATATCATATTAGATTGAATTTGATATAATAACCAATTATTATGATGCTAATTTTTACAATTTTTTCTTAAATAAATAAATAAGATAATATGTTGACATTATTTATTTAAAAAAGGAAAATATTTTCATAAAAAATTAAATATTGATCAATCTTAACTGAGTTATTATTGATGCAAAATTTGCAAAAAAAAACTAACATGGAAAATCCAAACATAAGAAGATAAGGGATCATTACTTTTGACCTTATTTTTCACTCAAAGTTACTTAATTCTATACATCCTTGTGTGTTTTTTAATATTTGATTCAGCTCTTCTCCAGCAATAGCATATATTTTGATTGATTGTATTTATATTAAATATATTACCTTTTGAGAACCAATGAATCATAACATGTACATAAATCCAAAAGGCAACTAAAACTCATGTGAAGTAAAAAAATATAATAATTTATCATATATATATATATATATATATATATATATATATATATATATATCAGTATAAATGTGACAGTAGATAATGAGTTTATAAAAAATATCGAGATATGCATGGCATTTATATTATTACAATGTGTAATTTATTGAACACATTTTTTTTAAATATTATCTATCAAATGTGTCAAAAAGATTTTTCATGTTAGATATATATGTATAAATTATATATCAATCAATCTAATATGCTTGAGAAGACAAAACACAATGATAAATGACACTTTAGGAAAAATATTTGAATTTATATTTTGAATTTATTTTTGATATATAATCTGAAATAAATCAGATTAATTCAGAATTATATAATTTCATAACATCAATAAAAAAATATTTCGTTAGAAAACTTCCCAAATGTTTTTTTTTCAAATGATGCAAACCTTGCAACTTCTAAGCTTTTATGATTTTGTAGTATCCTCTGTTTCACAAAACAATATTTAAGTATAACTTTCAAAATAGGGACACATTTAAACAGTCCTAAATTTGAAAATCTTTGATTTGCTAAATGTGATTTTAAAACTGTACAAACACATGAAATCACAAAAAAGACAAATAAAATCAAAAATGTATTTCCAAAAATAATAGTGTCTTTATCAATTAAAAGGATGGAAAATGATATTGTTGTTATTAACCAATATGTATGAAAAAAGATGTTATCTTTAATATTGCTTTATTAATCTCTTCATTCTTATAAACATGAAAACACACAATAATCTTATATGAAGAATATTGCAGATGTGCAAAAATACTTTTCAAATCATAAATTAAATGATGTAGAATAACACTTACCTTATAAACTGCAACATGAATTCAATCTATATGCAGAGTCATACGATTCAACGATATCTACTGTATCAGAATATAGTGTAATTTCGTGCATTATATATAATGTTTGAATCTATTACCCACCAAGATATCAACTAGCTCGTGGTTTTCAACTAAGAAATGAGAGAAAAATTTACAAAAAAATTTCAAGATTTTATTATACATAATAAGAAAATGCAACAAAAGCTATCCAAATACCGCAAGGTGTCAACAAAAGTGCAACTCCAAACCTACAATCATCACAATCACTCATTTGGTCTAGAAATAGTAAGTCTTTTGTTGCTAGCAAAATCAGAAGTAACCTACTAAACTCAATTTCACTATCGACAACACATAGAGTCAATAACAGTCCAACTAAAAACAATTCTTACCAACAGAAATGGAGCACGAGCATGAAGCCACGATGAAATTGATCAGTCATTAAAACCATAAAAACCTCCATGAAAATGATTGAAACCAATCCAACTCAAAGTTACATAGACTACAACACTCTGAGAAACATTAAAATTAGACTTGGAAGGCCTTGTGTTATTGATTCTAGTAATCTAGTGCTGACAATGGAAGTGCACAAATTATTCACCAAAGCGTCATTCTCAAAGACTAAACTTGAAAAACTGCACATCAGATAGACTTGTTCTAAACTCTGAGCTTGAGAACTATATATTCTAAAATGGTGTACAGATTCAATACCAATTGTTCTGACTGATGTACTCTGCTCCGTAAGGACCACCTATCGATCTACGCCTGCAGCTACATGAATCCTGACACAAAAAAATCTTAGATGTCTGAAGAGTAGGCGAATAAAGCCTTGGGCAATGGGAGAAACGAAAGGAATAGCTTCATACAAAATATGTGGAAAGTTGCAAAAAGCTCGGATAACGATAGATTCTATCTTCAGTTGAAAGCTATGTTCTATGCTCTAAGCGTTTGCTCTAATTCTATTTGCTGCTTGGAAGCATCGTCGTACGTGGTTTCGAAGATGAGAACTGTGACCTTATGCAATTTGTTTAGGGAAGGACTTGAATCTAGATGTCAAGGAATGTTCTCTTAGGGTACTGGCACTGAATTATAAGTGAAAGACAATCGTGAAGCACATGTGGAACGAAGTGAATCAGAACCTAGATTTAAGGAGTCGAGATTGTGATAAC